AAAAAAAAAAAACAGACAGCCTCTTTATTTCGAATAATGACCTTGAAAGGAGCAGACTCTCGAGGAGATGTCTATTGAAACCAAACAAAGGCTAACGGGATAGAGAGGGACTTAACTTGGCCGGAAACGAAATGCAGATTTACTCATGAAACCATCCCTACAGTTAAGTGTAGATAAGAAAAGGTAAACCGAGAACCAACCAGAGAAGGGCAGCTTAGAAGCCCAGCCAGGAATGCAGAGCGCCAGGGCCTGGCCGACGCTCAGGACGGGAGGCACGACTATGTAATCAGGACACGGAATGGGGTGACACACCTCAGCTGCTGGGAGGTGCACACAGGGACCCCCATGTGAGACGACTCCCCCACATTTCCTGGCAATCACCATATTCCTCATACCTGACACTGCCATTAACCTTAGGTGCATACTGGTGACTATTTCCATAAGGGACTTGGCCATCTTGGTTTGGATTTTATGTTACAAAAAAATGGAAGCAGCTCAAGTAGAATTCTGTTCAAGTCTTATAAGCAGTCGCCGAGACAGACCCTTGACTTTCTTGTTCCAAAAAGGCAAATGGGTAGAAATGAATATTCTTGTAACCACAGATTTTGTCTTCCTAATTACTTTCCTAGGGCTAGAGTTTTGGAAACCTGTGTGAGGGTAAAGACAGAAACCCTGCACACGTACTCTGATCTTAATGACATGTCACTGGCTTAGTGGAAAGAGCTCTTAGTGGACCGGAAGCTCTGTCTCTGGGCTGGTCACCTGGCTGCCACGGGCCTCAGTTTCGTCATCTAGAACATGAAGACATTGGGCCTGACCTCTAAGGTCTGTTTTATTTTTAGCATAAAAATTGGCTGCACTTTTGACAACACCTAAGGATTCGTTACCCCTTAGCAAGTTTCTAGAGATACAGGGAAGACAGCTGCCACTTAATCAGACAGACCCTAGTTCAGGCCAGCCACAGGTCACCTAATTTAATCTCCACACTCCCCTCCTGGTACTTATCATCACCTATCTGCTTTATTGATTTCATCATTTTCCATCATTATAAATGACTTTTGCCCACTTAAAAAATGACCCTCACTTAGAGACATCCAAGGCTCAGAGAAGTTTTCTCCAAATCACAAAACTTTCTGTTTTATAGTTTCTAAAATTAAACACTGAAGCTTTGAACATACTAATTTTAAAACGTGTCTTAGGCAACCAGTTATATATTCATGTATGCACACAATGAAAACAAATGTCAAGAATATCAGAAAGAGACCCATGAGAAAGGCTCTGCGTGGCACAGATCCCAGCACAGGGCAGGAACTTAGAAAAAGTGCTGACTGGGGGCGGGGGGTGGGGTCGGGCGAGGGTAGGTGTAGGCACCAGATCCGCTTAGAGTCACCAGAGACACGGGGTTGTGGCTTGGGAGATGCTGTCTCTCTGCTGATGGCTCCTGGGCGGCCCCTGAAGGTAACCTGTTCCAACATCTCCCCCCAATCGTTCACGAGGAGTTTGTAATAATGCAAACGGTCTGCCCGCTGGAAGGGACTCTGAGTCTAAATTAAATTCCCATCCCGGCGAGCTTCCTCCACAGCTCCCCTCCAGGGGAGAGAGGGCTGACCCTCCTCAGCTGCGCCTCCTGGCCCGCTCTCAGAGTTCGATCTTATATTGAGTTGAACTTTGTCTCTCCCCATCAAAACTTTTTGTTTTTACCCAAGCCATCAGAGATGGTTGACCTAATATTTTTGTTTGTTTGGACACCAAGTACTTTTCGAATTACAAACCTTAAAAACAACAAAAAGGCCTCTGAGGGAGACCACCCCCCTAAATAACCACGTGTCCTTGTCAACTTAAGGCAAAATGTGACCTCACCATAAGCAGTCAGGAAGGCCACCCCCCACTGGGGCTGGTCAGACACGGGGCCTGGGCTGCAGCCTCGCCAGCTCGCAGACCTGCCCGCTCCTCTGCTGGCCCTGGAAGCAGGCGCTCACCTTGCAGAATGACGTTTGGCCAGCCGCACTGCAGATGGCATCTAGCTAAAGGCGCGAGGCGGTCGGCATTTACATGAAGACGGAGGAAGGAGCAGCTACTCACTAACCATCCACTAGCAAGACGCCCGCGTCCGTGGAAACCAGCAAGGCCTGGCCCCAGGGGTCCGCACACACGGCCTCGTGAGGGAAGCTGCTGCAGAAGCACTGGGGCTCCCAAGGCTGGAAGGCAAGGAGGGGCAGTGAGCGCACGGGGAGGGGTGCACTGGCCGCCCGGGGTCTCACTGTCCACCGCCAGCCACGGTAGCGAAGCAGCCCCCCGACCCCAGAAGCTAAGCAGGATCCAGGGTCAGTTACCTGTCTAAGGAGAAAAGTCTCCTTTCAAACCCGCATGCAGACGAGGAGAGTGAGTTCTCAGTGGGGACACCCCGTGCTGTCTCCAGCGGTCAGAGCCTAAGTGTCCCCGGGGGCAATCGAAGCCCTGGAATAGGTTTCCTAAGCAAGCCTCTTTCCTTAACACCTGGAGGATGGACCCAAGGATGCCCACTTTTTTTTGAGTGTTCTTGTCAGTTCACCCTAAAAGGAAGTCCCACAAAGCTACCCATAGTCAGATTCTTGATTGCTGATTCAGCGAAATGATCAAGCAGAAGTGGACAGTGTCTCAGCAGGGGAATGCTTACTCATGTCAAGGCTGTGGGCACTGAAAGAAAAACTAACACCTGTGGGCAGGAGTGTGGCAAGAGCTGGGGCCCTCGCCCGTTTTCAGGCCGCCGCCTCTGGGCTGTGCGTGGCTGCGCAGGGCCAGTGGGCAGTGTTTGCTGGGGTCTTCGTCACCAGAATTATGCGCAATTTTCAGTAGAACCAGTAACTTCCTTCCAAAACACATGGCTTGGCCTCAAAGGACAGTGACGCTATTTGGGGGTCTTCAGGGACTCGTCAGTCTTGCGTCTTCACTTTTACTCTCCCATGTGAGCATGTGCAGGGGTGTTTGTACCCAAGGGGTGGACACGCGCTCACATTTTCAAAGTAGAAGTGATGGCTTTGGGGGCACCCCCAAGGATGTCATTGGGGCAGATGACATGAAGGTGTCTTACTGCTACATAGGAAAGAATGCTCCGCTTTTCAGAAACCCACCATCTCCAAAGGAGCATTTGGGTTGGACCACATAAAGAATAAACGTGAAAGCATGTCCTAGGGTGAAACAGACCTCCAGTGCAGGTCATTCACTGAAAGGGCATTCCCTCAGGTTTCTGGGAACTCCACAGGTGCGACTTACAGTAGAGTCTGAGACAGCCCAGCCAGTACGCACGTCCACGGGGAGAGACGGGGACGACGACAGAGCTTTAGGTGACTCCAACTCCTAGTCCTCTGAGCCAAGGACGCAGCTGGCGCAGGGCTCTCCACCTGGAAGACCTAAGTGCGCTAGGCGACCCACGCAGGTCTCTAGGGAGTGGAGGTGGGTCAAGGGGGGGCTGTGACACCCTGAAATTATAGTCAAAATGTTACCGTAATGTGCCACTAGCACAGTTCAATGGGTGTGTGTGTGTCGGGGCTCTCTCCATGTCTGAGGACACCTTCCATGCAACGTCAGCAACTTGAATCTGACCAGTCACAGACGTGTGTGGTCTGAGGACCGATGGCGTCTGTCGCTGCACTGGATGCCCCTGCGCCCAGCGAGGGGCTGGGCATGGTTCTGCGGGGGGAGCACGCAGTCTTTGGGCCTCCCTGCCCGGGCACAGCCCCGTCTGCTGGCTCCCCAGCCCGTGAGCTCATCTGGAGAAACAGCCCGCCACGAGCTTGCTGGAGCCCACCGCTGGGAGGCAGGGCTCTCCAGGAGCAGCGGGCAGCGGGGCCACAGTCCCCAGGGCCTCTGGGGCAGCGTTTCCGGATGGCCACGGGGGAGGTCAGGAGCTGAGCCAAGATGGAAGCCCTTCCCGCACTGCTGACAGTTACGGTTCCACAGGCTTTTGTTCTGCTTGGCTAAGAAGTTCTTAGTAGGAAGGTCACTCAATCACCTTGGACTTGTGTCTACCCAACACCACGACTTCCACGGGCAGACAGTGCAAATGGCCACAGCCTTCGGAAGGACGCCCCCAGTCTGCTGGCTCAGCGCTGGTTGCGCCTCGAGCTCATCCTTTCTGAACAGACTTTAGAGTGTGGAGGTTCTTCCACTCACACACGAATCAGAACTTCACTACTGAAGTAGAGGAACGGGTTTGCAACAAGGGCGCATCTCTGGAGATGTGCTGTCTCTGAAGTGTTTTTCCTCTGAGCGGCCTTGGGCACGCATGAACACAGACACAGCTCAGCACAGCGAGCGGCTTCACAGTCCAGGCCTGGCGCCAGCCAGTCCCTGGCGCAGCTTCTCTCCCTCCCCTCTCCCCTATTCGCTATCACCTAGTTGGCTTTTTTTTTTTTTTTTTTTTGCGTGAAAGGGGACCTAGAAGAGATCCAAAGTCCACAGAATTCTTGGCCGAATGGATGCCACAGTAAGCAGCCGTGCTCCCGGCACCAGCAGCACCAGCATTGTCAGCAAGGCGGATTCTCCGGCGGGGACGGTGATTCTAAGACACACTGACGCTTGAGAGCCGCTGCTCCCGAGGGTGCTCTGGTGTGTGCGTGTCAGCCCCACAGGCCCCGCCTGCGAGCTTGTGGAAATGCAGAGTCTTGGGCCCCAGAGCTCCCCGCCGGCGCGTGCGTGCGTCAGGCGGCCAGGCCACGCGCAGGCGCGCGAGCTTGCGGGGCGTGGGGAGCCGGCTGCGGAGTGCCGCGCAGTACCCCGCGCCGCAGTACCCCACTCCGGCCGGCGTGCAGGGCGCCGCATGCCCGGGCCAGGCAAATGGGGAGCGTGTTAGTGCCGACCCATCTTTACCTGGGGCTCCCCGGTGGCTGCGCTCTTCCTCCTTCTGCCCCACAAACCTCTCCCCAGAATCTCAGAAAGAAGGCATTCACGGTTGAAGTTCAATTGTCATCAACTCACCTCTTTTTTACAGATTCCTGAAGCTGCCAAGCTAGATGGAGCGTCCCCTCGCACGATGGATTTCAGTTTTAGCGCCTAGCAAAAAAGAGACCTCTTTAAAGTTTGCTGTCAAGCAGTAGGAGGGCAGCAAGATGAGCAATTATGATTTGGCATTTTTAAAAGAAGTCATTTCAGGGCAAAGCCTCAGCTGCCACGCTGCTCATCTCTGAAGACAGGGCAGGCCGGCGGCCGGCTGAGGCGGTGAATCCTGACGACGCCATACATCCTGCCATGTCTAGACACCCGCAGACGCCACTGTGCGCACTGACACAGCCCCCAGGCCCTCCTCCAGCTCCGAGTCAGACTCTGACGGTGAGTCGGGTGTCTCTCGATGAGGACCTGGCTGAGGGCCGTGGGGCACAGCTCAGAGACGCCATCTCTGCGTCTGGGCCTGCCGTCGCCGCAGGAGCCCCTTCGCCATGTGCCTGCTTGCCCTCTGCCCTCGGGCGAGAATCTCCGCTGCAGCTGGCAGCCTGCCCCTGTGACACGGGACCGGCATCACCCCCGGAGCTGAGAAACGCCAGTGTAGCGTGGGAACGAGGCCAAGGGGGGGACCGCTCCGTGGTGGGCAAGAAGCGGGGGCTGCAGCCCCGCTGTGGCCGCTGCACCTGGGCACGTTCTGTGCTACCCCAGCAGGGAGGCGCTCGAGGCGCTGTCCGTACTCTGAATCCCCACTCTTCAGAAAATCCTAGGGGGCAGGCAGATGGCCGGAGGGCGTCAGCGGGGGGCCTTCCTGCCTCTGCTCTGGTCACTAGCCCCTGCCCGCGCCCCCCATGTGGAGTGCTTTCCTCTCCCTCGCACACGTGGTGAACAATGCCTCTGCAGTTAGCAAAATTCACTTGTGTCCCCAGTAACCCTGGGCGGCAGTACAGCGCTCTTCCAGGAGTGTGCAAACAAAACTCCATATGCAAGGGCCACCTTGTTTGGATGGGCTTACAGATCCTTGTCTTGCAATAATAATAAAAAGAAGTGTCAGCGTAAAACCCACCTGCCCTATTCTAACAAACTCTGCCTGGCGGGCCTCCTCTTTCTTCCGTGCTGACTTGGGTGATTCGGGCAAGACATCACTAAACGATCGTCTATTAAGCATGTTCTAAAAAAGAAAAACACATTAAGGTCCACAAATGGTCGTCAAGTCTCATCCTTTGGCATCTCCGAATGACAAAGCTCCTCGCCCGGCGGCCTCGTCTACCCTACATGCCTGCCACCTGTTTGGTGCTTGGGACGACAGCTCCACAGGCGGCAGGCAGCCTGGGGAGGTGGCTGAGGGCAGGGGCTTTGCCATTAGGCCAACTGGTAGCTCAGTGCTCCCAACTCCCCACTGATGTGAGCTGGGCCACCCCGGCCATTCTCAGCGAGCGGAACCCCCAGAACACGTGCACATGGTACCCCTGGAATGGGAAATGCTGTGACCCTCAGGGTCACTTTGGGGCATGTTCATTAACTTCTGATCCTGGTGTCTTCGTGGGACTAGTAGTCACCCCGAGGTGTGTCGGGGACAGAGGAGTAGACGCGTACAAGCGTGGCACACACTCTGACGTCCGTTCTTATCCGAGAATCAGGCACACTCATTCTACTGGTGAGCCTTGAATGAGCACCCACTACTTTGCCACAGTATAACGGGGGGCACAGACTGGCACCTGGGTGATCTTTAAAGGAGGAGACACGGGCAGGGGTTGAGAGTATTTAATAGGGGGCTTGGTCTGGGCCTGAGGCAGCAGGGCTCCAGCTAGCTCCTCCAGCTGGGGGGCCATCAGGGGCTCCTCTTGGCACATCTCTGCACCCTTCCCTGACCTTAGCGGAGAAAGGAACGGACAGATTCCTGTATGGCTTGCTCTGGGGCCCTGGGCTTAGTCTGGGTGAGTCCCGGATGTCATGAGAGGAGCTGTGCCATGGTGGTGGTCGCTGTGCCGGGGGAGGGCTGAGGGCCACTGGCCCACTCAGTATTATTTGTCCTCCCTGGGCCAGCACCTGGACGCTGATGCTGCATCACTACACAGCTGACAGCAACTCCCCTGCAGGGCCTCGTGTGAGTGTCTCGGGAGTCTCCCTGCTTGCTCTGTGTTTCCTGGGAAACCGGGCAACGCTTCTGCACAATGATGGTTCTGCTCTGATAAGAGTCCCTGCTGCTGGAGCGCTCAGCCTGAGTCTGCAGGCCCCCAGAGCACACACACAGGCGCCTGGGAGGCGCTGGCTCACCTCCTTCCTATGCCCATGAAATGGATTTTCCACAAATGTGAATGCTTGTTTCAGTGGCTGAATAAGGGGCGAGCAGTCAGTCTGCAGAAAACCTTGCAAAGAGACCAAACTCTCTGCAAGACCCTCACCTTTTGCTGCCCCTCAGCTGTGGCCTGGTAACTCTGAGCAGTGCCTCTGAGGGCAGACACCCCCCAATAGCAGTCTCCAGTGCCCCAGGAACACTGGTTGACACCCACACCTGCTGCACCTCCATCTCCACAGGCCTGGTATTAGGAGCGCCATACTCCTGGCATGGGCCTTCAAAATCCCTCCCTCGTGCGGTGACAGGTCACAGCCGGGTCTGAACGGCAAGGACCAGGCGACTCCTGGGCTTTTCTAGCCAGGACTCATTACAGGGGCTGTGTTCTCAACTCAAACCCCGGGAGAGTTACCTTATGTAAATCTGGCATCAGATCCTGGTGTAAGGATCGAATCAGCATATCCAGAGTACGTCGACGTTTCTGGGCAAATGTTGGGGTTTCCAAAGTGGCTTTTTCACCATTAATTACTAAAATAAATCAAGTTATAGAGGGAATAACAAATATTAATGTGATTGAAGAATGTCCTTCTTAAGGGAACTCTGCACAGTGAATGTCCCCACTTTCCCAATGCATGTATCACCCCTCCTTCGAGGAAGTTCCTAAAAACTCTGAATTCCTCTACACAGGCCCGTCCACCTTACTTTTCCTGTCAGCCTGCAGGCTTCAGGAGCACAGGATTTAGCTCACTACATGAAGACACAGCCAGTACACATCCACTGTGCTTCAATCCCATTCTACTCATTCACCCACCCGCCACTCACCCACTTTTCTACCTTCGCATCCACCCACCCAACACAAGAAGCAGAACACCAGCGTGACACTCAGTAAGATCGAGTATTCATTTGCTGCATTTGTTGGAAATCACATCTGTCTAAGCAGCGTGCTGTCTAAGCAGCGTGCTTAGCCTGCAATGGAAGTTTCTTTTGGGAAAAACACTAGCAGCTTCTGGGCTCCACACACTGGGCGACGCAGCGTCAGCACGCACGCAGCATGCCCCGAGGCTGGGGGGCCGCTCTCCCTGCCTTCTGCAGCTCAGTTAGCTTCCGGGAGGCTGATTTCTGCCCTGTGCAGGAGCTATCTCCTTATGACGGCATCTCAAAACTTAAATGAGGCACACGCAGAGTTTGCACAGGGCTTGGCACTCTGAACAGAGTAAATACGAACCGTGAGTGTTCCCATAGTGAGAGAAAAGGAAGGACAGTGGTCAGAGGCTGAAAACTGAACTTCTTGGGGACAAGCATTTCTTAGCTAGGCTCCATGTACTGGGAGGAGACAACTCTTGGGGCATGAGGCCGGGGCTAGGGCCAGGTATCTGGGTGCTATTGGGGAGCTGCAAGGCAACACTCACTAGCTAGTGAAGCCTGAGCTGTCAGGTCCCACACACAGTGCATTCATCTTCTGACGGTCAGTCTGTCTGCCTCTGTCTCTCACACATATATACCCCATGACTACTCTTCCCATCCCTAAGATAGGACCATACCCACTCTCCTCCCCACCTTCTTCCACTCTGACAAACACATGAATACAAACAGAGGCAGAGATTTCAAGATGGCCATTGGGGAGCCTGGACACCAGATGGGGAGCCCAGTGGACATGAGACCAGTCCCACAGGCCCAGACTCAGCCTGCCCCATGAAACACAGTGGAACGTCCTACATGGCATCCTGGGGGAGTTGTATTCTCATGTTGAACAAGTCACAAAAGCAGCTTGAACCTGAGACTTACATTTCACGAGCAAAAAGTCCCTGAATTCCTGGTGGTCTGTAAACACCGGTGGGGATGGCAAGGGAGGGCCAAAGAGGGGTACACTTTCTTCTGAAAATATTTTCAGCCTACACAGAGAACATTTCAGAGTTACTTGGCTTTTCTTCAAAGATCACCAGTACTTTGACCTGACATGTGGCTGGTTGCCTGGGCGGTGTGGGAGGAATATTCACTGCCCAGGAGCAGCACCTTCTCCAGCTGCTGCCAGGGCCTGGGCCACCTGGCTCCCCCTCCTGCATGCCACAGGCTGAGCCCATCTCCCCCAAGTCCCTTGAGGTCTGGCTCGCCCAGCTGTGGCCAGGGCAGGCACCCCAGGGATGTCAACAAAGGCCTCCCCGGAGCACCCACTGTACCCCAGGCAATGTGCCAGGCATCTGAAGACAGCACTGACTGTTCCTGCCAAGCTGCCAAGGTGGCATCGGGACCTTCCTTCTACAGATCAAGACTGTGTCTCAGGAGAAAAACGTTTTGTTTAAAGCTGTAACGTTAGTAAGCGGCAGAGTTGGGATTCTAACCCAAATATATTTGGTTCAAAGTTCATGCTCTTTTCAAGCATGAGACCTTTTAAGAGGCTAATTTTTAAAACAGAGGTGGATTAGCCCATGGAAGAGGGTGTTCAGGACAAGATGAGACAGATCCCATGTGAGCCCACTGTGGGTCCCATGAGCTATCCTGGGCCCTTGGGCCTGTGGCTCAGAGCAACACTACAGGGAGCGTATTTCCCCCAGAGAGAGTGGGCGTGAAGAAAGTTCTACAAGGTGAGGACACTCCTATCCAATCAATCAAGAAATATGCAAATCAACAGGCCACCAAATCAATACCAAATCAACATGAGAAACAGAGGAAGCCATGGAGACGAAGCCACCACCTACCTGTAGTTGTCATTTTGTTGGTCATATCTCACTAAGGCAAAAATATCTTGGCGATGGTTAAGGAGATTAGCCAGCAACCCCACACTCTTAGCCAACAGCTTGTGTTCTGAAAACCCCTTGGGCAGAATCACCTAACCCTGCACTTCAGGGTCGGGGCATCGGACCTCTCAGGCCAGGAGGGAACCTGAGTTCCAGTTCTGCGCTCCCCCTCTGGGAAAGGGCCAAAGGGCCAGTCTCCAACACGTCAGAAAGCGAGGGAAACACAGGAGCACTTACGGCACTAAGCGCCACCAAAGCCACGTGACCAGTCCTCTTGCCTGAGGCACAAACGTGGCCCCAAAGTGAGAGCAGACCTGATTTCATCCCATGCACCCC